GTTCAAGGGCACATTTTACCATCTTATCCGGCTAGACCCTTTAATTTAGTTTATAAAAAGGACATTGTAGAAGTATTGTTCCTCATAAGAATTGGAAAGTTTATTTCTACTATATTAGACAATTAGCAAATAAATTTTATTTAGAGAATACAGAGCCCAAAGTTTACTATTAAGAGCATTTATAAGAGTAATGTAAAAGGAAGAAATGAAAGTCATATTGAAGGTGCTGGTAAAGATAAGGATTCGGACCAAAAGGAATTGCTTAAATGTAGGAAAGATTAAAATGATGAAGGTATGGGAAAATGAGTAAGTGAGAGAATCAAAAAGTAGAATAAAAAATGTTTAAAGGAAGCTCCCTTAAACCGAAAGGCACAGTATAATTAAAATGGAATTTTGTATGTGCATATAATTTACTTAGATCTACAAAATGTTTTATATTTTTATTAGAGACCCGTATAAAAAAGTTAAAAATTGTTTGCTATTTTTTTTTATTCCGACCAACAGCAATTAAAAAAGATTTGTTTGTACACATTATTTAGTAAACTAAATCTTCCAATATGGAAAAGAAAATTAAGTAGTTCAATATTATAAAAGCTATTCCGTTTTGAAGTGTATCCGAATATTAATGGGAGTCACTGTATCTACCTATCAGCTTGTTCTAAAAATATATGTCGTTTTTGACAACTAAATAATTGTAAATAGTTGCTGCTTCAATAAGCATCCACTTTTCCTAGTTTCGTTTGCATCGTAGGAAAATTAAAAATCTATTATTGGTCTATTTAGTTTAGCGAAAAATGAAATTTAGAACACTTTTGTTTGCACTTTGTACGTTTGAAATTTTTTGTCCATTACTTGTTAATTTACGTCATGAACTTTGATCTACATGAGAAGAAAAGCGGTTAAAGAAGCGAATATTTTACTTCAAACCTTTTGGTAATTTTTCTTGTTGACTCTTAACAAAATTAATAACATTTTGTATGGAAATTCATTATGAACGTAAAAC